AGCCACAGCGTTTGGCCCAAAGATGAGGGGGCCATTCAGCTCATTCCGCTGCTTACCGGCAGACTGACGCTTTCCTCACACAGGCAGGATGGCGGAAACCACATTTTACTGCTTTTACTTGCAGGGTTTCGGTTTCTTACTTTTTTATTTGCCCGGCTCTCTGACCGCTTTTAAAACTTCAAGTCTTCTTTGTGATCGACAAAGAAAATATATAAACAAGTGCAACTTAGTGGAATATTAATGGTTTAATAGGATATAACAATATAACACCGGTAACATTTGATGAATGGAATGCTGTTTTACACCAAAAGTGATTCTGTTTTTTTTGTCTATGTGACTGAGTTATAGTGATTTTTCAGTGTAATCCATTTCCACCTTAATGGAACAATGGCTGACAAATGGGTATTACATGAATAAAAATTCAATGGATTTGGATATATTGGATTAATTTTGGATTGAAATTGAGTGATCATGGTTGGATTTATACCTCCTCTTGGTTACTTCCCCTTTAAAGTGCCTTGTGGGGAAAATGTTGTAACCTAGCATCGCATCAATTCAAGTAACTGAAACTGAAACTGAACTGGTAATCATCTTTCACACATAGAGTTTCATATTCTATCTGATTCTGGTGGTGTCCGAGTGGCTCTTGTGGCCCTCTTGTTTGGGAAGCAAAGGGGCGAGGAGGGAAAGTGGACGGTGTCTGGGCGGCTGCTGTCAGACAGAGGGTCCATCAGATGCCTCCTGATCAAAAAGCCTCTCAGGCCTGAGAGCTGGACGGTCAACAAACAAACACTTGTTCTGCTACAACTGCGATCTCTTTGGATTTTCCTATTCCTCCCCGTTGATGTCCAGCCACTGCTGGGTTATTACTTCTCGTCTGACAAATGATTTTGTCACTGCTTTCATTTCTTAGTTCATATAATCAATAAGAATCTGATATTTGATTGAAAAAAAGACTGAGCCACAAGTCAGTCTCTATGTTCGTTTCGTTGTTTAGGGCTAGAGTTGTTTTTTCTTGTGAAACAACTAAGAAAGATTATTCCGAAAATAATAATGTGATGTAACCATGACTGCTGCAAAGGTCAGCGAGCAAACTGATGAAATATCGGGGCCGGGAGAAGATCCTGAAGTGCATCTAAAGAGGACGTTCGGCGCATTTTTATCAAGGATCTGCTGTGTTTGTCAAGAGGGGGCGAATGCCAACATCTCCAAGCAGGAGAAAGCCACGCTGTGCAAAGACAGATATTCAATTAGCTCCTGAATAATCACCCGGCATCTGTGTGTGCAAAATTATTCTGAGTTTTCCTTTCCTTTAATAAACACAATCTACAAAAGAGGCCAACAATGTTTTTCTTCCTTTGCTTTAGATTCAAATGCATGGAGTCAATTTAATATCTTATTCAAAGATTTGAAATGTATTCAAAGATTTGAAATGTCTATCTATGCCTCCATTTTCTGTACTTATTCCTGTCCTCTGGGCAGTTTACAGTCAAACTAACGAAAAAACAAACAAAAAATA